GGGGGGGGGAGGATACAGGGGGGAATAGACAGGGAGGGGAACGTGTGGGAACAGGGACAGGGACAAGGAGGAAGCAGGGAATAGGATGGGGACAACAGTGAAGCAGGGAGAGGGATGGGCACAGGGATTGGAACAGGGATAAAGGCAGGGTGGGCACAGTCTGGGATGGGACAGGGATAAAGGTGGGATGCGGATGAGGTCTGAGATGGAGACTGGGAGGGGAACAGGGACAGTGCTGAAGGTCCTGGGGATGGCGACATGGACAGGGGTGAAGGGGATGGAGATGAGACAGGGACAAGAACAGGGATGAAGATGAGGACAAGCACAGAGGGATGAAGGCAAGGACAGCTCGGGGCCGGCATGAGAACAGGGACAAGGACACAGACAGTGCTGGAGGTTCTGGGAATGGGATGGGGACAAGGACAGGGATGTGGACAGGGATGAAGGTGGGATGGGAACAGTATCTGAGATGGAGACTGGGACGGGGACAGGGACAAGGGACAGTGTTGAAGGTAGTGGGGATGAGATGAGGACAAGGACAGGATGGGGACAGGGGATGGAGACGGAACAGGGACAGGGACAGTGCTGAAGGTCCTGGGGATGGGCTGGGGACAAGAACAGGAATGGGACAGGGATAAAAGTGGGGTGGGAATGTGGTGTGAGATGGAGACTGGAGTTGGATGGGGATGGGGACAGGGACAAGCACCTTAACCCTCCCACTGGGCACAGATGCCCTTCGAGGGGCCCCCAGGGCACCCAAGGGTGACATCTCCCAGGTGTCCCTGCAGGTGCTGGCCTGGGGGCTGCGGGGGCTGCGTGGGGCTGTGAGGGAACCCAGGCTGGAGCTGCAGTGGGAGGACCAGACCCTGTGGACTCCTGTGATCAAGGATTTCGCCTCCAACCCCAATTTCCCCACCACCACCTTCCTGCTGACCCTGGTGAGTGGGGGGGGGCAGGGGATGACCCCCACCCATGAGTGCTGCTGTGACACCCTGGAGTGTCCCTGTGGCTCGTCCCCAGGCCCTGCCAGAGGAGGAGCAGTTGGTGCCCCCCATTCGGCTGCGGGTGTGGGACAGGAGGAATAGGAAGCTGGAGGTCCTGGTGGGACAGGGCTGCGTGCGGGGACTGGGCCAGTACCGCTGCAGGACCCCTGGCCTAGAGCAGTCCCCCCGCCAGGAGGAGCCCCCTGGCCCTGGAGACACTGGGACTGGCTCCTATACGGTTGTGTCCATGCCAGGTACTGCCCATCCCTGCCCCATACCTGGTACCACCTCTCCTGTTCCAAATACCCCCTCTCTCATCCCTGCCCACCCCAAGTGCCACCTGCCCTATGCCAGTTACCCCCTGTCCCATTTCTCCTCCCCTCTACCCCATCCCTGCCTCATCCCTGGTACCAGCTCTCCCATCCCAAATACCCCTTGCCCCCTCCCTGGTACTCCCTGTCCCATCCCAGGTAACCCCTGCCCCATCCCTGCCCCACCCTTGTTACCCTCTCTCCCACCCCTGCTCCATCCCTGCCTCATCACTGCCCCATCCCAGG